CCCCAAAACCCCAAAACCCCAAAACCCCAAAACCCCAAAACCCCGTGAAGAGTCTAAGAGATTGAGAAAACTGAGCATAATTATAAATTACTTATATTTTTGACATATAGTGATCCTCCCGTTCTGCTTAAGTACTCTTCCCTGGGTGTTGGCATAGTCCTGAAGGTCATCATAATGACTTACTTTCAGCTTCTTAACCGCTTTGTATCTTCCAGTTCGTCTGTAGCTCGGCTGGGTCTTCTGTATGGGGCCATCAATGTTGATATTTTGGAAATCTGTCAAGACAATTTTGGATTTTTGATTAACCCTTGTTGTCCCAGGCTATGAATATACTAAGGTAAAGGTACCTCTCCCTCACTATTTAGATCTTTCCTCCAAGAATTGTTCTTTGATAAGGTCGGGGTTGAGTATTTATTGCTATTTTGAGACATCCCAAATGAGTGAGAGAAATCAGATAGAGATGCATTCTCTTCTTTATGAAACATCTGAGGGCCACTAAATTCCCTTATTCCTGTCTTGCTTTTGTAGAATACTGGATTGTTAGTATTTTTGAACTGGAAGCCTGAGTATTTACCTATTTGATAGTTAAAATATGAGATAGTAAAATTAGCAATGCTAATTTCAGTCAAAAAGAACAGAAATGTACAACTTTGGTCATTTAAGGAGTCTAGGAACTAAGAGATACAAAAGCTTGTAGGTTTCCTTAATAAGTTCAATCAAATAACTCTTAAAATTGATTTACTCCTTTTATGAGACCTTGGGGTCAACTTATACGCCTCTTTTGGAGTGGGGCTCTTTGATACAATTCTATGGGTTTGCATCGGCAATTTCCCTGTTGAAGGGGCAGTAAGTTGTACTTTAGTACCTATTTATAACTTAAAAATATTTACCAAACCCAAAATTTAAGGTTTCCAGGAGCTTTATTTGTGGTGGAGCGTTCCTTTCTTGTCTTATCAGATTGTTTTTGAACTTGAGCCCTGGTCTAAATTTAAGAATAGAAATTATGAAGCTAACAAAAATTCACAAACCAAATTAGAAGGTGTTGTGAGATATGTTTGAGGTTTCCTAAACTATACTGAGAGTCTTCTCTCAATCCAACCTTTAAAATCGGCCACTTTCATAGTCAATTTGTCATGAAACCCCAAAATGCTTACTTGTTGATTTGATAAAGTAATTTATCAGCCACTTTATTCCTGATATCCGACCTTGCTCTTTTACCCCGGTTAAGAGTCATGGTAATCTTTTTATTAATCCTTGGCAAAATCTGGCCTGATCTGGAAAATGTTGTTGATTCATTAGACTCGCTGATTTCTTCTTCCTTACTCCTCTTGAACACAAAGGTTTTCATAGAAGATTGTTCATACTTCTCTTCGACTAGAAGTTAGGAAGATGCTTACTCTCTTTATTTATACTTAGCTAATTCTTTTTCCATTCTCAAGTTTATATTCTTCGGTCGCAACTGCTTGGCTGAGGTATCTGGCTTAGTGCTAGCAGGAATATTGTTAAGGTTCGAAGTAGAGCCTGTAGAGTAGAAGATGTCACAGGAGTTTACTATCTTCCTCTCTTTCCTCTTGTCAGATTTTTCTATGTCGTTTCTATAAGAAATTTAGTAAAAACCTTACCTGACTTTTTGACGACTTCTTCTCTTTTTCGTTTGCTTCAAAGTTTTTAATTTAAATTTTGTGCTATAAGTTGTGATCAAACAGAAGAAGTATTTGGTATATGAATTTCATAGAAGGGTAGGTTTAAATGATTTCTAATGTTCAGATTCCATTAATAGGGTCCTTATCAGCTATTTATGAACCCAAAGAAGCAGTAATATCTCCTTTTAGTAAACTTTCGCAATTATTTCTAGAGAAGATACTAATCTCTGGCTAGAGGTGGCTTACTTATAATCCCCTCTTTTGTACAACTCGAGGACCTTGTTCATATTTATATTTTATATCTATTATTACAATATCGTAGTTCATATGGGGTTTTGGGGTTTTGGGGTTTTGGGGTTTTGGGG